GATGGCGATGACAGGACCCAATAACTAAACTTCCACCATGTCCTATCTAGATGGAAGTCAAGCGTCCTACTCTTGCAGAAAGTCAGCTGTCTTGTCCCAATCGTTATCTTGGGTCTAATCTTGGTGGAAGGAAGTCGTCTGGTCCTCACTATTGCCTTCGATTTGGTCTCAGAGGAAGTTAGATCATCTTGTCCGCCTCAGCACTTTCGATTCAGTCTCGGTGGAAGTCAACCGTTCGATCTGCTTTATCGCTGTCAATTCACTCTTAGTAAAAGTCGGTCTTCTGGTCCCCATTGGCGTGATGATGGTCCCGATAGAAGTCAGGCTTCTCGTCCATGTGGTCATGTTGGTATGGTTCCCTATGGAAGTCGAGCATCCCGTCCCATTCATCACCAATGCCACAATCTAATTGGTTTTGATTGTTTTGATCCTAGTAAAAAGTGGCCATTGGATCGTTGACATGGACTAGTCTTTCAAATTTCTTTTAAATGCAAATATAGAATTTGAAATTTGAAATTGTACTTTAGATCTAAACAACAGATTTTAATATTTGTATTTTGAAATTTTATATCATTCAAACAAAAGAATTAAAATCTATGAATTTCACATGTGAGATTTCAAATATGGTATTTTAAATTAAATTCTCAACTTAAAATCCACCCATCCAAATGCAACCTATGGAATAAGAGATAACATAAAAAATTGACATGCCATTATAATTAAATTAGATTAGATAACATTCAAAGAATGGAGGCTTAATTGATTCGTGCGTTTAGATTCTCTATCATTTTCTAGCTCAATTTTCATTCTTTTTACTTGGGTCGAAAGCCCATCTCACATTTCTTATAAGATTATTTTGGGCCAAAAATTTTATCAAGCCTATGTGTGTAAGTAACATCTTTCTAGAGAGATATATATACAAACACATACCGAATATATATATATATATATAAATATAATTATCTCACTCATTGAGTCAAATTTAAAGGAAAATGACATTGAGGAACTTTGTAAATATATTAATGTCAATTAAAGATCTTGAAATATTAAAATACAAAAAAATCATGGTTTTATTTGTAATTAAAATATTTTTAATTATTTAAATAATTAATAGAAGGTCACTTATGAATTTAATGGTCAAGACTTAAGGTCTATAGATGTCATTTTTCACATATTCAAAAAGACTAAATTTCCCTTTATTCTAATATTATATTTGGATTTACAAGTTATACTATAAGTTTAAGTAAACTTTTATCCAAAATATAAAGTTGGATCATAAACTCATAAGAGTTTACCTTTATTAACAAATAGTCAATAAATATAGGATTAAATAATTAAAATACAAAATTTGACTATATAATTTGATTTAAATATATTTTAAACATTAATTATTTAAATTAAATCCATCTATATTAATAGATTATCATATTCAACATAGAAATTTTAAAATAGAGCAACTTATTTTTGGTATTTCTTGTTTTCATTTATTAATAATAGTTTTTTCTTTTTGAATTTTATTTTTCTTTGAACTAGGTCTTACCATTTCTTTAAGTCGAGTTACTTGCTCAATTTGGTAAAAACTAACAAGTTTAATTGAGTCACTCACCAGTTTATCAAAGTTTGCATCTAATTCGAGTTTATGGACAAGCTGACATAATTTTATAAATTAAATATTTAAAAAATAATAAATTTGAAGAGTCAACTCGCGAGTTTGAGAACAAGACTCTTAGGTTTGCAAGTGAATCTTCTCAATTTTTGCATGAGTTATTAAAATATAACATGTGAATATACAATCAACTTCTTTGATTGGTAAGGGATAATTTGATCTTTCACTGTATTTTAGAAAATTTAGGACACTTATTTATTAATAAATCCTTTATTTGGAACTTGGTTGTAATCCCAAAACCTGGCCATTTGTGCTTTAGCCATCTAGAGAAAGCATAGTCTCAATCAAATTAAATAACTTTATCTCAACTAAACTCTTAGCATACACTCCCCTCAACTTATATTATAAGTCATTTTCAACTACTTTACCGAAATTTAAAAAAAAAAGACAGTTAAGCTATTAACTTTATTTGAAAAATGGAATAAACTTCTAATTTTATCTCTACTCCAAATTTGCATTACATTTCTCCCTTGTAGTTAATGAATTTAAATAGGGATAGTATTGGACAACATAATTAATACACAGGGCATGCATTATATTAATGAGTTAATGAGCATTTTGGACTCTGAAGTATTACACGGAAAGTGCACTAGACCTTGAATTCCTTAAATGTGCAAAATGGACTATAAACTTCTAAATTTATAGCAAATTACCCCCACTGTTAATGGACTCTTAACACCATTACTGTTCACTTAGTGGGGTCCAGTCAAAATGCTGATATGGCAATCCTTGATGATGTGTCATTTATTAATAAGCACCACAAACCCTAAACTATTACCTGGACCTTAAACTTGAAAATTCAAAGAAAATTAACCTAATTGTTTATGTGTAGAATATTGACTATTATATAAACTAAATTAACCCAATCATTTAGGGTCTGCAGTGCTTATTAGCAAATGACACATCAGCAAGGACTGTCATATCAGCATTTTGACTAAGCTTCACTAAGTGAACAATAACACCATTATGGGTCTATTAACAATGGGAGGTAATTTGCTACGAATTTAAAAGTTTATGGTCCATTTTGCACATTTTTGGAGTCCAAGGTTTAGGGCACTTTTCACATAATACTTCAGGATCTAAAATGCTCATTAACCCTATATTAATTAATGACCATTAGCTTAATACATGCTTTTCACCAATATCTCCTAGACACTATATCTAATTCCATGCATTTGTGAGACTAACTTTACTACAAAAAATGACCTTTGGAGGCGACAAGTCCAAAAGTTGCCATTAAAGGTTCTTAGTAGTAACTTTTTACTGCTAAAAGGGTCTCCACCAGAAGTTTGGTCACTAATATTTTTGGTGGCAAAAGTATACCTTTGTCACTGCTGAAAGTTTACCTTTAGCGCTGACAATCGTCATCGTTAAAAGTATACTTTTGGTGGCAACTATGTTTGTCATTGCTAAAAACTATTAACAACTAAACTTTTAGTGGTGACCTTTTGGAAATGAAAAGTTGATGCTAAAAACCTTTAACGATGACTTTTGGTGATAAATTTTTGTCACCACCAAAAGTCATTTTTTCATAAAAAATAAAAGAGCCATCTCATACCATGTTTGCGCCTCCTCATACCATGTCAACTGACAACTTGTGCCACATCATCTACCACGTGTGCACCTCCCATGCCACAGCACTCGCCATACATGCCACATCACATGTTCATTGTGAAATATGCTTAAGCCAAGATTTTAATCCTTGACCTCCACTTCCTAAGCTTTAAATTTTCCTTTTTCGCCAATTGAACTAAAATATACCTGTAATTATTATATGTAAAATTAAGTATATATTATTTAATTACATACACATATATAAAATAATATATTATTAAAAATATATACATATATTATATTTTATTTTCATTTATTAACATGTTAAAATAATTTCTATGAGTGTGTGTGTGTGTGTGTATATATTATATTTTTAATAAAATATTATTTTTGTTAGGAAAATGAACTTAAAATGGAATAATTTTCAAATATTAAATAATTTTCTTATAAACATTTTTACCAATTTTTAAATTTTATTTTTTATTTTTAAATAAAAATAATTAAGTATATAATTTATTTATAAGTATGTATTATATTAGTTTACATGGATATTGCATAATCAAAATAGAAGGAATCTTGTCTTGACTTGATTTAAATTAGTTTGGACTTTCATTAAAGTCTCTTTAACAGAGTCAATTTAAAGATAATATAGAATACTTCCCAATAATTTTGCAATTTAAAATAAATAAACTTTAATAAGTTTATACATAATTTCATCCATAATTTTAAAACCTGTCAATTATTTTTCACCTATTCTATTTGTTGCTTATTTTAAATAACTGTCAAACACAGAGCGTCTTATTTAAATAATCCTGTAGTGATGTACAGTAGAGTTCAGCAAATGGAGTAGATACTATATGTATACTAAGCCAAACATCAGGTGCGCAATTTGTCAAGTAATTTGTAATACCATTTGCATCTTACAATATCTATAGGACTTTAACATTTTAATATTTATGCATAACTTTAATATTCTAATGTTATTTATTTTTTATTCTACATATAAATACCTTTAGTGGTAACAAATTTTTCAACTAAAAGTAATTATGCTTTTTATAAGAATAATTTTTAATTATTTTTTATGAAAATACAACTGTGCCACTAAAAGTAATTATATAAATTATTTTTATTTTTAAAATATTTTTTATAAAAATACTTTTGATGGAGATTGTTTGTCACCTCTAAAAGTAATTACATAAAATATTTTTAATTTTTAAATTTTTTTATAAAAATACTTTTGGTAGCGACGGTTTGTCGTCACTAAAAGTAATTACATAAATATTTATTTTTAATTATTTTTTATAAAAATACTTTTTGTCACCGCTAAAAGTAATTATATAAATTATTTTTTTATAAAAATACTTTTGACAGCAACAATTAAAGGTTATCACTAAAAGGGAATCTTTGGTGACAACAGTTAAATGTTGCCTTTAAAAATTTACTTTTGGAGGCAACTTCTAATTGTAGATGCCAAATGTAGATATCTGGTGGTGACTTTTTTTGTCACCGTTAAAAGTTACTACCAAAAGTTTTTTTTTTGTAGTGCTTATAAGATCAAATAAATAAATAAATAAAACTAATACAAAACAGACAAAAGAAATTACACCAAACAAACAAAGACATGCAGCCCATATGCAAGTCATATGCATCAAATCTTATCACCATTTATAAACATGACTTCTTACAAAAATTATATAATCAATGACTCATATTGCCACCATATTTTGTCCTAATAAGGTGACATGTTCGTTAGGGTATCATATTTGAGGATCATAATGAATCATGAATATTTCAACAAGACGCAATATATATTGTTTGGAAAATCAATTATGTGGTTTGCAAGTTCGCTCATGTCAACATGATTGTTCACATTTTGAATCAAATAACTTTCAATCGTGGTTTGGCCTTGAGGCACTCTCCAATCAAATGAATGCATTAATGTTGCAACAAAATACAACAAATTCTTCTCAGCCAAGGCTATTCCTGTACATATTCCTCGTCCAGACCCAAATGGTAAATAACCAAAGTCATTACTTTTGAAATCCAACTGTGAATCTAAGAACCTGGAAGGATCAAAATGTAAAGGATTGTCCCAAACATAAGGGTCTCTATGTATTGCCCACATGTTCACAAAAACACGAGAACCTTTGGGGATTGTGTAGCCTCCTATAGTTGCAGTTTCATTTGGACAATGAGGAACTAATAGTGGAAGAATTGGATACAACCTTGGAGTTTCTTTTAGAACAGCGAGTAAGTATGGAAGCTTGTGAATATGAGACTCTTCTACTGCGTTATCTTTTCCCACTATGCTTCCCAATTCTTGTTGGATCCTTTTCATCACGTTGCAAACTCGATTGTGATTGCAGCTTGTCAGTTCCACCCACCATAATGTCCTGTTCACATGAAAAGTAATTAGTAATCAACTAAACCACCTCCCCACATGACCATGTGTTAATTTATAAAGAAAATAAGACAGTCGATGCTTGTATTTTGATTGCGATTCATTTTTAATTCCTAGAATGTTATTTCGTTATTCCTAATCCTTTTAGTTTGATTCGTCTCAAATATTTATTTTTAACCATAAGAAATATTTTATATGATTGTTTTAATATTATTAGTTGCAAAATCAATTACATATGATTGTTTTAATATTTTATATGATTGCTTTATGATCTTCTCAAAGATCTGATCAAATTGCAGAGCCAACGAACCCATCTGCTTCTCCACTCCCTGCAAATCAAACCTCGCCAACCCGGAAAAGAAGTCCGACATGTTTGGCTTCCCCAATAGCTCCATCGCACGCGCCACCACTTCCCTGAACTCTGTTCCCACAGTGACCCTCTCTTCGCCTTCCACCGTCCCGCCCCATCTCATGCGGCGACCACGTTGGACACCGTCATAAACATCTGCTCCCCAATATCCACTGGAGACCCGACCCGACTGTACAGATAGCCCACGGTTTTCTGAACCTCCTTGCGACGGAGCACGTAGACGGAATCCAAGTTAGTGTTGCTGAGCATCCACTGAACAAGCACTTTCCTCAACATTCGCCACTCAGATCCATGCGTCCAAAGTATGTCTCTTCCACCGTAGGTCGACACCCTGCCGGCGAGCGGAACGTCACGGTTGGCGAAAATGACGTCATGGTCTTTGAGCACTTGACGAGCCATCGAAGGGGAGGACACGATAACTCCGTATTTGGAACCGAGTTGGAGAGAGAAGATGGGACCGTAGGTTAGAGACAAAGAGGTGAAGTATTTGTGAAGCTCAGGATCGAGAAATAGAAGATTGCCGATCAAGGGAAGGCCTGGTGGACCCAGCGGTGTGTTGGAGCCGTCGTGCTTGTTAAAGCAGAGCTATGCATACCAAGTGACTGCGAAAATGCCCCAGAAAGCAAGAAACACAAACGAGAAAGAATCCAAATGCGTTATGGAATCCATCGGGTTTTGAGAGGTATCACTCTGAATACTGAGATGTCTCAACTCCGAAGCAAAGAGATGGCCAAGAAGACTATAAGAAGAAAGGCTATCAATAATTTCATCCCCCCCAAAAAAAAAAAAAAAAAGAACGAGAAAAAGAAGCGAAAATGACAATCAAGTTCTAAAAGAAATAATTAAATTCAGATAGGTTCCAAGTAATTTTAAAAGGTCAAGGAAGTCCTATACTTTTTTTCACATATCAGAGTTATAGTCTAAATGACTAAAATGCCCCTATGATTAAATATAATATATACACTCATCAGTTCTAACATTTCCCTCTTGAACAAACTCTTTTTCGCTATTAATGAGAGCTGATGTGAGTGGTGGAGAGACATGTTGAAGAATACCTATTCTTGAAACAAAGTTGCGCGTAGAAGAGATGGAGTTGCCTTAATTATTAACTCAAGTAAGCTCTTATTTTTTGCCTATGTGAGTTTGTTTGGCTGGTGTGTTTAGATAAGCTTTTTTTTTTTGCAAATTCATGCATTTGAAAAAAAAAGATTGACTCAAGTAAGCTCTGATTTCTTGCAAAATGACACTCATAAGGAAAAAGATGGAATGCTTTTTTGCAACTGAACATGAAAGGTTTTTTTTATTTCACATTTCTAAAGATTTGGCATGAAAATTCAACATTTTGCAACTGAAAGTGTAATGATTTATCATTGAGTACTCATATTTTAAGATGGAACATTGTCACTATCTCATTGATGTAAAAATCGCTGATGTCAAAAGTAACTTGTTTCTGAGTAATATATTATGACATTTTATTTTGCTTATTGTAGGTTGATGTCATTAGGTAAGATGGAAAGTAGTTATTTAAAGAATTTTTTTTGTTATTTTCATTTTAGTAGAAATATTGTAAAAGATATGCATGAGATAAGGCATTATGATGGGGGGAGTTGTAATGGAAGAATGATTAGAGAAGGAATGTCTCTTGAAGAACTCGTTAGATTGATTTCATCATGCTTGAATTGTGATTTAAATGAAATAGAGTTTAAGTACATAGTAAAGTTTGATTGTAATGCATTTTTAGACCTTAGAGATGATAAAGGGATAAATCAATTAATGAAGTTGAATGATAATTTTTCTCATGTGTATATCATTGGGAAGATACAGCAAAATACAGATGCAACAAGAGATTCAATTGATGGGTAAGTTTTTTAATAGTTGAATGATTAATATTATGCTAACATAAATATGAATGGTAGTAATAAACATGATTTGAATGGAAATGCAGAGCAAGATGTTCAGCTGTGAATTCACATGCTACATAGGATGTTACAGAGCCATATTTGGTGGCAATAGACATGCATTTTGATATTAACATGTCAAGGAGAATTTTAGCTCTACGTTTAACAAAGTTTGTAGGAGAATGGGAAGGAACATCAAGAAAGAGGCCCTAAAGTTGCTTGATCACATTGCTTATGCAAGGCATGAGCATGAATTTCATATAGCCTTGGAAAATTTAAGGATGTTCTTGCCACAATTAGCAAGATGGGTTGAAAATCAAGGCAATGTTGATCGGTGGGCATTATCATTGTTCCCATTTCGAATATGGGATAAGATAACAACCAACTTAGCTGAATCATTCAATGCATGGATTCTTGAGGAGAAGAGGTATAATATATGTGCTCTTATAGACGAGCATAGAGACAAGTTGAGCAAGAAATTTTTTGCAAATAAGACAGTCATAAGTAAGTGAAAGGGCATAGTTGGTCCAAATGTTGAAGCAAAGTTAAAGGAAAAATTTTTGAGGACATAATTTATGATAATTCAGCTATATGGCTTACATATTGCATTGGTTCGGACACCATGTGGAGATGTATGTGTGAATTTGATACTAAAGAAATGTACATGCAAAGTTTGGCAAATATCTAGCATTCCTTGTCCATATGCTTGTGCAACCATTAAAGAAGTACATGGTAATGTGTATAACTATGTCGAGGAATCTTATATTCATAGCTCACAGGAGAAAATATACAATGGCATTATGCATCCTGTCGAGACCTATGACATGCCAAAGCTAAATACATTGATAGTATTTGAGCTCATAAACCAAACCTTTTTGCTGCTCTTAGAACATCATGACTAGTTGGCAGACCTCATCATGTGAGGATCAAGTCTCAATATCAGCAGAAGAAGGTTTATCATTGTTCTCGTTGCCATGAAGTAGGTCATACGCAAAAGAGGTGTAGAAATCCAAATCCAAATTGATGTTATTATAAATGGGTTACCATATGAACTTGAATTTGGGTGACATACATATATGGGTAGTTTTAGGGGTTTTTTTTGTTATATAGCAACTCCTCTTTTGTAAATCTAAGTTGATGTTTCTATAACATGATATTAGATCAACTTGTATTTGGTTGACATATATAGGTCTATGTAAATATATATAGGTAGTATTAGGGGATTTTTTGGTACATAGCAACTCATCTTTTGTAAATCCAAGTTTATGCTTTTGTGTATGTGGACAACTAATATGTGTAGATGCATGAGATGAATTGATACATGTAGCTTATATGTACAGTTCATATCTTTTGTGATCACTAAAAGTGTCTTCTTAAAATTTGAAACAGAGATTGCAAATTATTCGTAAGGAAGTTATAAATTTTGATATGTTAATTGTAAATTACTAGAGCCATGTCCTAAAATAATTTAGTAGCTTTGCAAGTTTAACAATTCAATAGTTCTTCTACCTAAAATTTTGAGAAGGAGTTGCAAATTATTCGCAAGAAAGTTGCAAAGTTGGGTGTCTCAGTTGCAAATTACTAAAACGTTGTCCTAAAATAATAAATTTTTTAAGAATTCAATAGTTCTTTGATCCAAAATTTTGAGTAGCAGTTGCAAATTATTTGTAAAAAAGTTGCAAAACTTGGTATCTTAATTGCAAATTATTAAAGCATTGTCCCAAAATAATAACTTTTTTAAGAATTCAATAGTTCTTCAGTCCAAAATTTCAAGTAGGGTTGCAAATTATTCGCAAGGAAGTTACAAAATTTGATGTCTCAGTTATAAAATACTAGAGTGTTGTCCTAGAATAAAAACTTTTTTTAAGAATTTAATAGTTCTTCGATCCAAATTTTTTAGTAGGGTTGCAAATTATTCATAAGAAAGTGGAAAAAATGAGGGTCTTAGTTGCAAATTACTAAAGCATTATCCTAGAATAATAACTTTTTTTTAAAAAAAATTCAATAGTTCTTCGATTTAAAATTTCAAGTAGGAGTTACAAATTATTCACAAGTTAAAAAATTTGATACCTCAATTACAAATTACTAGAGTGTTATCCTAGAATAATAACTTTTTTAAGAATTCAATAGTTCTTCGATCTAAATTTTTGAGTAGGGGTTGCAAATTATTCGCAAGGAAGTTGCAAAATTAGGTGTCTTAGTTGCAAATTACTGGATTGTTGTCCTAAAATAATAACTTTTTTTAAAAATTTAATAGTTCATTGGTCCAAAATTTCAAGTAGGAGTTACAAATTATTCATAAGGAAGTTGCAAAATTAGGTGTTTCAGTTGCAAATTACTGGAGCGTTGTCCTAGAACAATAACTTTTTTAAGAATTTAATAGTTTTTCGGTCCAAAATTTCAAGTGGGAGTTGTAAATTATTCATAAGGAAGTTGCAAAATTGGGTGTCTTAGTTGCAAATTACTGGAGCATTGTCCTAAAACTTTTTTTAAGAATTCAATAGTTCTTCGATCCAAAATTTTGAGTAGGAGTTACAAATTATTTGTAAGGAAGTTACAAAATTTGGTGTCTCAGTTATAAATTACTGAAGCAACTTCAAAATTTCACCAACCAAATAAGGTGTTTCAGTCATTTCTCATTATATTAAAATGCCATTTAAGGATTTAAC